TAATAAAAATTTAAATTATAAAGAAATTTAACGAAAAATCAGTTCAGATCACTTACCCTACTAAATACAAAATTTTTGCAATATTTATTTTCATAATCCCCCAGATATTTTCAATTAGATTTTGGTCGGGTGACATCGATGGTCAGGAAAGAACTTGTACGTCATTTTCCTTTTTCCATTTATTTACAAGTTTTGAACGGTGTTTAGGATCATTATCCTCCTGCAAAATCCAATCTACACAATCCTCACCAAAAAGTATTTCAATGGAAGGCAGAAGACCCTTCTCATAAAGTGTAACCATAAAATCAGCATTTAGATTCCTCTGGAAACAAACTAACTTCCCGAAGTCTGAAGTTAAAAAACACCCCCATACATGGACTTTTAATGGATGCTTTACAGAACGGAATACTTTTCTTCCACTAGGAAACATCCACATCTTTCTTCCTCATTGATTTAGTTGAAAGGTGCTTTCGTCTGAAAAAATTACTTGATTCTAATCAAAATTCTTATGATTTTTCACCCATTGCAGTCGAGATTTTTTATGTTTATCGGTGAGTAAGGGTTTGGAAAGTTGATTCATATATTTGGCCCCAGCTTCATGTAAACATCGCTAAATTGTAGGTACACTTATATTAATATTATCCTTTGTCATTTTCCATTATATTTCAAGAGTAGTTATGGTAGTTTCTTTTTTTGCAAGCTCCTTAATTTTTTTATCTTGTTTTAGAGTTGTAATTCATTTCCGTCCTGATTTTGATACATCACTTAGATTCTTTGTTTTATTTCACTTTTTGAGTACATTACTTACTGTACCTTTAGCACAATCAATATACTTTGCTATCGCTTGAAGTCCAAGCTTTGGACCTTCGGGATGAGTATGTAAAAAAATAATTTCATAACGCTTATGTAAAGGAAGAGACATTTTTTAATGTAGAAGTTTATTGATGATCTACAACATATGTAGATTATCTATCAACCTATAAAAGGCATCATGATCAGCGTTTGTAATGTTCTTTGTGTTTGGAAAATTTCATAACATTACACATGATTTTTAGAAAGTTATGGGGGGTCAGTTACTTATGAAATTGACTGTAAATAAAAATTTATAATCTATTAATAATTATTAAAAAGCTTTTTAAAAATTAATTAAACTTAAAATAATATTTAATAACTTATAATCAAATCATATTTTATTTATAAAAATTATATAATCAATAAATATTTAATTTTTAATAAACATTTATCTATTATAAATCAGAAATTAAAAAAATAATTGTTATTATTAAGCAAGATATTTATTATATTATTTTTCAAATAAAAATAAGATAAGATAGATAGAATCTGATATTTATAAAATTAATAAAAAAAAGAAGATTGATTATATATTAAAATAAGAATAAAAGCAAAAGATAGTAATTTTGTGCAAGCTTTAAAATTAATTAATATAAAAGTTAAAAAAATTAATTCAGAATTAATTAATATGAAAATTAAAAAAATTAATAAAGAAAACTTATAATTAATATTATTATTTGAGATCAGTTTATCTTTTAAATTTATATTTCAAATATTATATTTAATAAAATACAAATTTATAAAGATTAAAGAATAATATCTAAAATAACTTGAAATATATAAAAACTTTATTATATTATTCAGAGAAATTATTAATAAACTAATAAAAAAGCTATCATAATATACTAATTATTAAATATCAAAGCAAGTTCAAGATTGATGATATAATTAATATAAGAGATTAAAAAAGATATATATAAATATACTTTGAGATGAATCTGAATTAAACCTTATAAAATATTATATTAGAATCTATATAATTCAAAATAAATTATTATTATAACTTCTATATTATCTTTTTTTTTATTCAGTTAAATCTTGAAGTACTGGCTAAGAATAACAAATCTTGCATATATTTCAACTCATATTTGACTGAATAGATATATTTTAATAATTATAAAAAAAATTTTATTAATTAAAAGAAATATTATGATTTGTATTATACCATGAAATAGTTTTTCCTAATTTTCTTTCACATGTTTATAATGTACCAACCCCTTGAGGTAAAACTTTGTAGATGGTTCTTGTTTGGACACATCTGGTGAATCACTTTTTATGACAAGAATTTGTGAACTGAAGAATAATCTAACAAAAATAGGCAAAATGGATGCCAATTTCGAAGGCATTTCACTTTACAGGGAGACATTAGCTTTTCGTGATCTTTGCACTGCTCTGTTCGTAGAAACCTCAAAAATAATTTGTTTTACAATCGATTTTTTAATAATATGCTTAATTTTTTACGTGTGACAAATCGTGTGACTGATATTAGTAATTACTACGCACCGCAGCAAAAATTATACGTAACGTGTAACAAACTTTATCGTTGTTATTTTGCGTTCGAAACTACACGATCAACCCACGTATGTTTTTTATATAAAGGGATCGCACGGAACAATAATATCGCATTCTCTAATAATCAAAAAAAATTTTTAAATAAATGGCAAATTCCTCTGCTCAAAATGTTCAAATTGCTGCGGATCTTTCTTCTCAGCCAATCGTCGACTCAGTTCTCGAAGAGTTTCGAAAAGAATGGAAGACAGAGCTTAAATCGAGGAAACTTCAACAGCAAGAAAGCTCAGCTGTATCTGTTCCCGTGGTTTCCAGTGCTGGAGGTTCAAAAACGTATACACAGCCTTTGGAACATTTAGAAGAAACAAAAGATAGAGATGTTCAGTGGATTAAAGGCAAATCAACGGAAAATCAAAATGCGCTGGATATATATATCCAAGCAATAGTGTTGGAGCGTGAAGGAAACCTGGGAGAAGGTTCATAAATATTGAGTTTTAACTTACTTTTAATAATACTGGTAATGAGATCACTTAAATTTCTTTGATTATATAGCCCTTATAAAATATCGTCAGGCTTTTAAGCTTGACCGTCACATTGATTATACTTACAAGAAACATTATAATGATGCAATGCGAGAAGCGACCTCTGACAAAGGTTCAACATCCTCCGAATCCGCCAAACATTTCGAACAAGAAACGATAATGGCACGAGATTCATCTTCAAGCAAGGATACGTTGAAAGAAATTCTTACTAGTTCTACAATAAACGATCCAGCATATGATCTGGTCGAGTCATTACGAGATCAAATACTCGATTATGAACCATTGGATCCCAACAAAAACATTCCGATTGCGAAACTGCCCAATGAATTGGTTTTGTGTATTCTCAAACAGCTGCTTTTATTAAATGTTGCATCTATCGGGACATTTTCGTTAGTATGTAAAAAATTTTTATTATTATCGCGCGAAAATTCTATTTGGCGGTTTGCATGTCTGCGCGCGTTCCGTATGGATCTCAGAGATGCGATCTATATTTTACAACGAGATGTAATGAAAAAGTATGGCAATGATTGGCGTAGAATGTTCATTGAAAGGTAGTAAAATTAATCGAATATGATTCAAATTACCGTGGGGATACTTAATTTACATTTTCTTTAAAGACCGCGAATAAGGTATGACGGAGTATATATAGCGACTTGCTATTATCTAAGGTAATATCATAAAAATGTTATATCGCAGGTTTGTCAATTCTCTTGGCGAAGTACATGAAACCATTTTATTCTATTTATAGACCTGGTTCTGCTGAGAATGTTTGGAATCAGCCAATTCATCTAGTATCCTATTATCGATTTCTACGATTTCTCCCGGATGGCACTTGCATTAAACTGCAGAGCTTTCACGAACCGAAAACAATAGTAAGAAATTTTGGAACCGGTTATAATTCCAAGGATCTTTTGATTGGTCGTTGGGAATTTGATGAAACTAATAATCAAGTAAACATCATATTGCAAGAGACGAGCATTATGAAACATACACGATTTATAACGTTGGCTCTAAAGTCGACTTCACGTGGAAAAAATAATAAACTTAATTGGATCGGTAAGCTTTTGTGTATTTCATCGCTATATACACAATTTCTCTAATTACTACATTTGTTCTATTATCAGAGTATTATGGTATTAATAATATTACCGGCGAGAAGGGGATTTTCAATTTAAAGAATGATAAAAATTTTGTATTTAGTAGGGTAAGTGATCTGAACTGATTTTTCGTTAAATTTCTTTATAATTTAAATTTTTATTA